CGGATCTCAGCCTTCTTGGCCTCGTTGTCAGGGTTTGAGGGAACCTTGACGCTGCCGTCACTCTCGACAGTCCAACCACAAACCTCGGTAACAAACTTCTTGGTGGCGTCCTCGTTGAGACCGAGCCATGACTCGAGATGGGTGATCTGGAGCTCACGGAAAGCCTGTGAGACAAGAAGGGCGATCCTGTGTCGAACGACGTCCTCAAAGTCAGGAATGTCGGCAATCAAATCGGCAACCATGTCGTCGTCGAGATCGGCCCAGAAATGGGAGTACTGAGCACCCTCGAGCTGGCCATTGAGGGATCGGAGCTTGGTGATAGCTTCGCCAAGATCACCAGTGACAGCAGCGGAGGGGTTGATAAGGTGGAGAGCGAGCGAGAACTGTGCGGAGGGGAACTGGGTCATTGTCTTGACCAGGACGTTGGTAATCACCTCATCCTTGATACGGTCGGGGTTGAGCTGGTATCTCGAGGGAAGAAGTTAGCCTCGAGTCGAGCAGTGATGACAACAAACAAAGGTTGGAGTAATTGGGCATTTCAGTTGCACTAAAGTTGACTTCAGGTGCGGCCAAGTTGAGAACAACCCGCCACACGAGTCAGGTAATAGGAAACGTTGACAAACGGTCATCATATAAGAGCCCCGGGGTGTGTTGTATATATAGAGTAAAACTACTCACAGTTTCAGCAGTGTTCGGTTGGCATTGCAGTCAGTGAACTTCTGCTCGCATTGGTCTTGGAGATAGGTCTCAAGGGCGCCGACAGCCTCGGGGTTGTATCGTTCGAGTCCGTTGATGATGGACGTGATCTCGCTGGGCCTCTCAGGCGGATCTTCACCGTTCATTATGGCTGATTTATAGGGAGAGGAGGGGTCGTTATGAGGGGTGATGTTCTGGGGGAGAGGGAGGTTCGCGATGGTGGGGCAGAGCGAAGATTTCGACGGTTGTGTGAGTGAATCGCTTGTGCGTGCCGAAATAGTTTAGCGTTGACTGAGCGGGCTGGTTCATGATTTTCGAAGCTCTTTAACTCGGTCACGTGCCCTCCCGCCAACATCGTCATAGAGCGGCCGCGTTTATAGTTGTTGATTAACAAGGACGCGAAGGAGCGTATTCCTCTACTTACATAAGCTTTGCGGTGGAATTATTTTGTCTCTCTGTTGGAATCCTTCTGTTCTTTGGGTCGGTAGTCTGACTTGATGCAAATATGCCCAGTCCAACCAAGAAACGGAAGCTCAACAACGGCACCAAATCCTCAACACCAGTCCGCGGTCTTGAGTACTTCTTTTCAAAGCAAAAGCAGAATGACATAGAGTCAAGTAAAAAGCCAAAGACAGATGAAAATGCCGAAGGTACATCAAGTGATGCTATTACAGAATTAACAGATGAAGAATTAGCTAGGAAGCTTCAGGCAGAATGGGACCAGGAAGTTGCAAAGACGCCACAGAATACACTACAGGCACAGACACTTGAGCTCCCGAGCAAACACAATGAGTCAGTCTCTCGAGATGAAAGTCCTAGTCCTGCAGGCCTAAAGCCGAAGCCCCCAGTCATTCTCCCAACGGCTCTCAGCAAGCCTGGCACACTCACCTCTACAAAACCTACTCTCAGTCTTCAGGCAGCAGGCATGGCTGAAGATACGACTACCACATCAATACCTCTCGACGAATCCCCACTAACATTCGACCCATCTGAGTATCTGGACCAACTAAAGGAGCATTGGGCATCTGAAGGCGGCAATGCGTCATATGCCCTTCTCACACGCTGCTTTATTCTCATCAACGGCACTACGAGCCGGATTAAGATTGTAGATACCCTCGTAAACTGCTTAAGAGTTCTTATTGAGGGAGACCCAGCAAGCTTACTACCAGCTGTATGTTAAGTCCACATTCCTGGAGCTTCTCTGACTTTCGCAGGTATGGCTGGCAACGAATGCGATTTCACCTCCTTATATCTCCATGGAACTCGGACTGGGTGGCTCAGCGATATCAAAAGCATTGCGCAACGTTTGTGGACTAGACAACCGAGCTTTGAAGGCCATTTATGACAAATATGGAGATGCGGGAGATGTGGCCTTTGAAGCCAAGAAAAAGCAGAGCTTCACTCTCAGAAAACCAAAACCTCTCACGATCAATGGCGTCTATGAAACTTTGGTGAAGATTTCCAGCAGTCAAGGGCAGGGTAGTTCCGAAACGAAGCAAAGATTGGTGGATCGATTACTGCAAGACGCTCGGGGTGGTGAAGAGAGTCGTTTCATCGTGCGGACACTTTCTCAGCATGTAAGCAAACCATGTCAATACTCGTCGTTACCATCTGACAGGCAATAGTTGCGTATTGGTGCTGTAAAAACAACGATGTTGATTGCTTTATCACGGGCCTTTTTGCTCTCACGCCCACCAGGCGCTGACTTTCCTCTAAAATCGGTATCTGATCTTGCAAAGCTCAAAAAAGAAGATTTGGCTGAAATTTGGGGGCGGGCTGAGGAGATAGTCAAGGCCTGCTTTGCGAGACGCCCGAACTACAACGACCTTGTACCTGTTCTCTTAGAAATTGGGATTTCTGAGGAACTGCTAATACGATGTGGTCTCACCATGCATATACCGCTACGACCTATGCTTGGAAGCATCACCAGAGACTTGTCCGAGATGCTCACAAAACTACAGGGCCGAGACTTTGCGTGCGAGTTCAAGTACGACGGACAGAGAGCTCAAATACATTGCGATGAGAATGGGAAAGTCAGCATCTTCTCGCGCCACTTGGAGGTCATGACAGACAAATACCCTGACTTGGTTGAGCTGATACCTAAGATACGCGGAGAGGGCGTTGATAGCTTCATCATGGAAGGTGAAGTTGTCGCAGTTGATCGTGAAACCGGCGAGCTCAAAAATTTCCAAACGCTCACAAACCGAGCGAGAAAAGATGTCGATATCGGAAGTATCACTGTGGACGTTTGCATGTTTGCGTTCGACTTGATGTATTTGAACGGGCAGCCATTGCTAGATCGACCCTTTCGAGAAAGAAGAGAACTTCTACGATCACTCTTCACAGAAGTACCGCATAACTTTACTTGGGTACAGAGTCTTGATGCTACATCTGCGGACTCCGAATCTGTTCTCGAGTTTTTCAAGGCTGCCACGGATATCAAATGCGAGGGTATCATGGTAAAAATCTTGGATAATTTACCCACGGTGCTATACACAGAAGAGGCAGATGATGATGGGCCAGATGGGACCAACAAATTACTTACACCAAAATCCAAGTCCAAAGGAAAAGGAAAAGTGAGAGGAAAGAATGATGAGAATGGGGAGACCAAAACGAAAACAAGACGCAAACCTTTACTGGCTACCTACGAGCCAGACAAGCGACTTGATTCCTGGCTCAAAGTCAAGAAAGATTATAATTCGAGCTTCGATACTCTCGACCTTATTCCTGTCGCCGGGTGGCATGGGCAAGGGCGTAAGGCGAAATGGTGGTCACCTATTCTCATGGCCTGCCGCAACGAAGAGACAGGGTCCCTGGAGGCAGTATGTAAATGCATGTCTGGATTCACGGATGCATTCTACAAGGCCAATCGGCAATTTTATGACGATGGCGAAGAGAGCGGCGAACCCAAGAACACCAGAACTAAACAGCCCGCCTTTGTCGAATATTCAGGCCCAAGACCTGATATCTGGTTTGAACCACAAGAAGTGTGGGAAATGGCATTTGCAGATATCACATTGAGCCCGACTTATACTGCAGCGATTGGTCTCGTGAGTGATGAGAGAGGACTGAGTTTGAGATTTCCAAGATTTATGAAGAAACGGGAGGACAAGAGTCTTGAAGAGGCGAGCACCAACGATTTCTTGGCTGGTCTTTGGCGAAAACAAGAAGCCAAAGCGGAAACCACGAAGAGTGAGACAGGGGTAGAAGCAGAAGAGGCGGAAGAAGCCGATGATTGATCGAGTCTCAGCTACATATCAATCTTGATTAATATTAGTGAACAAAACGCCATGCTCTATTTATTCGAATAGCATCTTTGAATGCGTAACGACGACCATGATGATCTTCTCCATCATTTACCAGCATTCAACCTTTGTGCGATGAGACTGAAAACAGCGATTGATCCCATGAAAAGGACGGCGTTATAGAACTGCTTTCGATCAGTACGTGCTGTCGAGACAAACCGGAAGACGACCCACCGCTTTTCTAGAGACATCTCGTTCTTCGTCATCTGTTCGTGACTCGATAAAGAGTCGACGGAGGTTTGGCAGCGCCTGTTATTTCTTAGATCTCGCTATCCTACGGAAACGAACACAGCATTATTCACCATGGTCTAGCTTGGCCGATTTGGCGAGGACTCTTATTCCAGAGATCACAGTCAACAGTATGACTTCATCGGGTACAGGTATTTTCTTTTCTTCGTGGCTATGATTGATGACCCCCAAGACTCGCGGTGATGTAGGTTGAGATCCAGTTCAACAAGAGCTGATAGAGGGTGACTAAGCGTGGGCAACGTATTTGCGTTGAAGGTGGCCAAAAATAAATAAATTGTTAACCATTGAAGCCACGCTACACGCGAACGGCAATCAATCAGGCGGAAGTTTAGAGTTAGGGGGTGGCCTAGCCTCGATCCACTAACTGGAGCTTACAGGGTCGCTGTAAAACGCCCCCTTTGTTGGTTTGGGCGGGCTCCATCCAATGCGACTCAGTGGCCTAGAGGCTAGACCTATCTTCGTGGCCTTGGCATATTTGGTGACAGTTACATCTGCCTTGTGCATACCTACGTACCTAAATTGATCAACTCCCTTTCCGATTATCTCGACTACGTCGTCTATCTTAAGGGCATCCTCCGATACGCGATAATATCGGTGGATGCAGGCTTCGACACTTGAGGACAAGTAGCTTGTACTCGGCCTGACCAATTCGACTAACTCAGACTGTCACCGCCGTCTTCGACGACCCAATCTCTCGTTCCTCTCCAACCTTCGAACTTCTGCCCCCGTGCCCCTCCAAGAACCTCGACGATGGCGGTAAATCGCATTCGCGGCGCCTTCGCCGTGCCTCGAAAGGGCGAAACCTTTGAGCTGCGCGCTGGCTTGGTTTCTCAGTATGCGTACGAGCGCAAGGAGTCGATTCAGAAGACCATCATGGCCATGACGTTGGGCAAGGATGTGTCTGCACTCTTCCCAGATGTGCTCAAGAACATTGCGACTGGCGACCTTGATCAGAAGAAGCTTGTATACCTTTACCTGATGTATGTGAACGAAGTTGAATAGCTGCTGTAGCTGTCTTCCCTAGTTCTATAGCTGCCAGCTGTTTCGTGGGGTAAGATGAAGAGCTGACCCGATGGCCAGGAACTACGCCAAATCGCATCCCGACCTTTGCATTCTCGCCGTTAATACATTTGTTCAAGACTCCGAAGATCCAAATCCGCTGATACGAGCACTGGCAATCCGAACAATGGGATGCATCAGAGTGGACAAAATGGTGGATTATATGGAAGAGCCCCTGAGGAAGACGCTGCGGGACGAGTCACCGTACGTGCGCAAGACAGCTGCCATCTGCGTCGCCAAACTCTTCGACCTCAACCCTCAGATGTGCATCGAGAACGGCTTTCTGGAGGCCCTTCAGGAGTTGATCGGTGATCCCAACCCCATGGTTGTCGCCAACTCAGTGACCGCCTTGTCTGAGATCACCGAGACGGCGCCCGAGACAAGGGCACTGATTGTTACGCCTGTGACGCTGAAGAAGTTGCTCATGGCCCTTAACGAGTGTACCGAATGGGGAAGAGTCACTATCCTGACAACCCTGGCCAACTACTCTGCGTCAGATCAGAAGGAGTCGGAGCACATCTGTGAGCGTGTGGCACCTCAGTTCCAGCATGTTAACCCTAGCGTGGTTCTTGCTGCTGTCAAGGTTGTTTTCATCCACATGAAGGCTCTCAACCCTGAGCTTGTGAGATCATACCTCAAGAAAATGGCTCCTCCCTTGGGTATGTATACGACTACGAGATATCGAGGTTGCACACTGACCGAATCCAGTTACTTTGGTTGCTTCACAGCCCGAGGTCCAATACGTCGCTCTGCGAAACATTGATCTCCTGCTCCAGGCTAAGCCAGACATTCTTAGCAAGGAGATGCGCGTTTTCTTCTGCAAATACACTGACCCTCCTTATGTTAAGCTTCAAAAATTGGAAATTATGGTTAGGATAGCAAACGAGCATAACTACGAGCAGCTCCTCGCTGAGCTGAAGGAGTACGCTCTTGAAGTCGATATGGATTTCGTCCGAAGAGCCGTTAAAGCAATTGGCCAAGTGGCCATCAAGATCGAGAATGCTGCCGAGAAGTGCGTTGCGGCCCTCGAGGATCTCATATCTACCAAGGTCAACTATGTTGTCCAAGAGGTGATTGTCGTTATCAAGGATATTCTGCGAAAATACCCTGGCTACGAGGGTGTTATTCCTACACTTTGCAAGCATATTGATGAGTTGGATGAGCCCACTGCCCGTGGATCTCTCATCTGGATTGTTGGAGAATATGCTGAGAAGATCAACAATGCAGACGAGATTTTGGAGAGTTTCGTTGAGTCCTTTATGGAAGAGTTCACCCAGGTAAGTCACACAGTAATTGGTGATTAGGTTTGAACTGACAGAGCTCGCAGACGCAACTGCAAATATTGACAGCGGTGGTGAAGCTGTTCTTGAAGAAGCCTGGAAGCAACCAAGGCCTTGTCCAAAAGGTTCTTCAAGCAGCGACAGCGGAGAACGATAACCCCGATATCCGCGACAGGGCATATGTCTACTGGCGTCTTCTCTCCTCTGATCCCGAAGTTGCTAAAGTGAGAAATTCGTCCGAAGGATCATCTTAATAAATAGTTGCTAACTATGTCTCTAGAACATTGTTCTATCTCAAAAGCCCACGATCACGACAACCATGACAAGCCTTCCTCCGGCCCTTCTGGAGCAGCTCCTCACCGAACTCTCTACTCTTGCTTCTGTCTACCATAAGCCTCCTGAGTCGTTCGTGGGCAAGGGTCGTTTCGGCGCAGACGAGATCCAGCGAGCAGCTATCCAAGAACAGCGACAAAACGCTGCCGAGAACCCTATCGCTGCTTCAGTTGCTGCCGCTTCATCCAACGGATCTGGTGGTGCTGCTCAAAACAACATTGAGAATTTGTTGGACATCGACTTCGATGGCGCCGCGCCTGCATCCCAAGAGCAGAACAGTGCTTCAGCAACCCCCGATAGAGTGGCCAGCCCATCTGCTGGTGCGCCTTCAGGTGCCATGGCTGATATGATGAGCATGTTTGATGCGCCGGCGCAAGCCTCTGGGGCTCCAGCACCTGCTGCAGGTCCCAGCAACAACATGAATGACTTGATGAACGGTTTTGAAGGATTGAACTTTGGTGGTTCGTCGGCAGGCGAGCCCCTACCAGCAGCAATGCAGCTACAACAGGCCCAAGGAGGAGCTCCTCAACAGCCCAAGAAGGACAGTGAAGACTTGCTGGGTCTTTTGTAGATGCATAAACGTATACATGAATTTCAAGCCAAGAGATGGTCATTGATTGGTTCACGGGAGTATGGAGACACGCTGGTAGGTAGGAAAAGAAGATGGATGCCTTCATGGAGGAGGCCATGGTGTTGGCGCATACAAACACATGTTATGTTGTTGTTTCCGCGTTGTACGCTTGCCAAATAAAGATTCTCTAATCATAAACTCGATCCCTTGGATTTCTTGTTGCTTGGTGATGTACGTACAGCGGCAGAAAGACCGCCTACGTACGGATATCGTTATCTAGACCCTCAGTTACATACCCGCCCTACCATTTCCTATGCCTGTCGCGCGCCCTCTTTATGCAGAAACTCCGTGTAGTATAACCCCAACATCGTGGAAGATAAAGAAAAGGTGATGTTTATGGCTACGCTTGCGCGGTGTCGTTGGCTGCGCTCGTCTTTGCGTACTCCTCAGGTGTCTGGCACTTGGCGGTCCAGGCGTGGATAATGGCGATTTCGTCCTTGAGGGCGGCGTTGACGAGTCGGTGACGCTTGAGAGAGTTGAGGCCCTGGAATTGAGGAGAGACGATGACTGAGTTGAAGGCTTGACCACAGCCGCCTACAATATCCTCAGGTTAGCTAGGTATGTCGGATTCTACGCCGTGATCGGCCTGGGGGGGTTCGCGGGGTAGAATAGAGTGGAAAAGAACTGACCCGACATGTCTGTGACTTCAACGTGAGTAGCCTCGAGGCGCTGCTTGATGGCCTCACGTAGAGACTCGTCTGTGATTTGCGACATTGTTATATTCTGAGAAAAAGAGGATATTAAGGTATGGAGCTTGTTGAAAGTAGTAGAACGAAGAAGAGGTTGATTGATTGATTACCTAGATATCAATCGTGGGGTAAAATGCACAGTGTGAGGCGGCATCTGGACCTTGAGCCGCCGTCCACGGAAAAACGCAGATCACTAATACAAGAGTCACATACGAAAGTTGACATGAGAAAATCCCCGATAAATTATGTCAACTATTTGAGATCATTGACATCCAAGATAGTAAAAGGATCCTTGTCGTACTTGCTCACAACAACTTCCACCTCAGGAACATTCTCCTTGATGGCAGCCTCCAACTTGGGCCTAAGCACTTCTTGAAGATATCCTCTTTCAGAATTGCTGTGAAAGACTTGGACAAGTGTTTGTCCCTGTTGAATAGCTCTCAAAGCTGAGTGATGGCTGGTCTCGCCAGTCACCAAAAGATCAACCTCAGCTTTCTTGAGCACATCGTATCCGCTACCAGCGCAAACACCAAAGCTACTAATCTTGGTAGTCTTGACGTCAGCGCCAACAGGGCTTGCTACCATAACATGCTTGAGGCCACCGAGCTTCTCAGCCAGACGAAGAATGATCTCGGAGAGAGAAACAGCATTGTCGAAGCGGCCTATGGCTCCATAGCCTGCGCCAGAGTGACTAGAGGGGGCAGAGCTACAGGGGATCGCGACAGAGCGTTGGCTTTTGTGAGGGCCAGAAACGATATCTGCAAGCCATGTGTTGAGTCCTTCGGGAGCCGCATCGACTGCAGTGTGAGGGCAGTAGACAGCAATACCAGCCTTGGCAAGGCGTAGAAGAGTAGCTTGCTGAGGATCTTTGTTGGTAATGGACTTGAGGCCTCCGAATATGAAGGGATCTAGCGTTGTTTGAGCAAATTCTAATATCCGACTCAGGATATATGATCAAGACTCACGATAGCTGACAATGACACTAACGTCCTGCTCAATAGCATCAACGGCGACTTGGTAGGTCAGGTCATTGGTCACCAAGACCTTCTTTTTCTTCTTGGCATCATTCTCTGAGTTTCCTACCAAGAGCCCAACGTTGTCCCAGCTTTTGTCTGCGATTTCCTCGGGGTATAGCTTCTGCATAGCTGCAACTACTGCCTTTGTGAAGGTTGAAGACTCAACCTGCCAGGCGCCCCAAGCACCATTGTCGGCCATCTTGAGTAACGGGCTTTTTGTAGGATGACAAGAAGAGCAGAAACTTTTGGGATTTGCAAGAGGAAAAGGCCTTGCAAGAGTTGAGCTAGGAAGTCGAGCTGAGCTGGAGGTTGTTGTAAGTAGTCTGTTCAATCTCAGAACAGAGCCTCTCATAGCAATTGTGCTACAAATGCGTTATATGTGATGCTCAAACGTGGAATTGGTCTGGAATAGAGTCTGTGTTAGAGGTCTTCATTACTGATTGACAGTGCAAAGTGCAAGACTCGCTCACCAGCAATTTTCTCGTTTCTATAACTTGACATGAGCTAGAAGCTGTTGGAGCTTGAAGCTAAGAACAGAAAATGTAAACTATAGTGGAGGGAGGGTCAAGTGAGCTCATACTGTGTATGTTTGCAGCCTGCACTGTCTATTAGGTCCTGATGGTGCTTCTCCATGAGCTAGACTATGACTTGGCAGAGCATAAACTCCGTGAGTAAAATGAATCTCTTTCATGATATTGAATAACAAGATCTTAGAAACTCCTCCATTAATGAGGTTTTGCAATAAATCATTGGGTATATTTCGTAACCTGTAGTTTATGACCGTCCGTCTTTTGACACACGACTATCTCTTGATCGCCTTTCATCTCTTGATAGTCTCTCGTCCCTTGATATCCTTGGGCTTGAAGCGCTGCTCTTATCATCGACTGGTCTCAACGCCTCATCGCCCTCTTCAATGCACTCTTCGACATCACTGCCACCAAATCCTTTCTCTTTCCATGATTCCAGCAGTTTTCGTGGCATCACCCACTCTTTGCGCGCTTGCGCAATCTTTCCCTCACTAACAAGAGCACGTAATCTCTCAGGCGTTGCTAGGACCTGTGCTGCAAGTTCTCTTGTCCGTTGTTGTCTGTTTGCTGCGTCTCGTTTCTTGCCCTCCTCAGAATCTGGTGAGGGAACTGTTTCCCGAAGGGCATCTCGGATGGAGGATGCTTGGCTGTAGATTTGTGCGATTGCTGGGTCAAGTGTTGAGGCCATAGGATTCAAAGGGTCCATATTTGCTCTCATCTAGTCACAATTGTCAGTATCGCGACTCTTCAGATAGGAACCCATGAACGCACCTTGCGAATAGTCTCTGTTGCTGTAATAAGCTTACTGTAATTGTCGTATACCAAAGCCTTCTTCTCCGCATCCAGCGCGCGCACTTCTCCCACGACTCGTGTATATAGCCTCAGAAGCTCCTCAAGACTGCTCTTCTCAACAACCTTGGCGACATATTCATCGGCGTTGAAGTCAGGGGCATCGATCTCTGTAGCTGGGACTTCGGAATCGGGAATCTCGATACGAGGGGCCGAGGCGCGCAGATTGTAGTACTCGCGAAGAGCAGCGCGATTCGACGTTTTGCGCTGCTGTTGCTGAGGGGGGCCAGGAGGTTGTGTAGGTCCTTGTGTGAGAACGGGAGACGCCAGCGCGGACCGAGAGGTTTCGAAGGAGGGACGGTTGGAGTTTGTGGGAGTGCGGCGAGGAGGATCGCGTGGTGAGGCTATTGTAGACATTTCTGCGACTTGTCGGAGTTCGGGGTCGAAAGATGAGAATGATCGTGGCTAGAAGCGTCGTGGGTCTCGATTTGAAGCTGATGAGTGAGCTGGGGGTTAACAAGGCTGACCTGAGCTTGACACGTTGGAGGACCGTTAGTGGTTGGTGACCTACAATCCAGGGGCACAGCACGCTAAACCTTAGGGGATGCTCCACTCTCAGCCGCTGAAACGTCATTCCCTTCACAAGGCTGAGTACAAGCTCCATCTTAGATTTCTCAACACCAAAAGATCAAAATTGTGATGATATACCAGTAACAAAAAATGGATCTCGTCGGCCAACTTCGTGCTTCAATATTGGCACAAAACCTTCCTCATCCCTCAACTGCGTTTCTCAACTCACTTATAACCACCCGCTCACCTCCACCACCGCTTCCTTCTCTTCTAGCCACTGCCAAAGCTCGATTACTGGCAGCGGACTTGACCAGCAGTACAATCATTAGCACAGGCTCTCTTCAGAGTTTCCCTTCTGATGCTGACTCTACAGAATCTCGTGAGAAGCGTATCCCGAGACCTGTCCATGTGCAAGTGCTCGATATTGAGAACCTTGCCTCGAGTCGCTGGGAACAGGTTGAAGAGATGGAGGCTGTGGTTAGGGGTGAGACTACTCGTGGGAGAGAAGTTGTTCGTGTTACAGCAGAAGACGATGATGAAGATGGCATTGATGGTCCAACCCAGCGACCCCCAGCTTCTCGGAATACAGCTGGCCCAAAACCAGCAGGGAAGAATGCGACGCATCGACTCGTCCTGCAGGATTGCAAAGGAACAAAACTCTTTGCCCTTGAACTACGACGATTTGACAGTATCGGAGTTGGCAAGACTCAGATTGGAGAGAAGATCTTACTCAAGGCTGGGACGGTTATTGCCAGAGGAATGATCTTATTGGAGCCGGATAAGTGTGTTATGCTTGGCGGGAAGATTGAGGCCTGGCAGAAAACATGGGTCGATGGACGATTGGCGAGATTGAAGGAGGAAATAAGACAAAATGAAAGACAGGCATCGTGAGGGGCTGTGTGTGGATTTGCATTTGATACCCCTTTTCTAACAACTTTGTACATACGGAGTACAGCCCTCCTGAATGCACATACTTCTTCTATGACGCTACATGCTACACGTTGATGGTGTTCTAAACTATCCTCGTACAGATTTGCATTCGTTAAATGCCTTCAGTGGCAGTGGCCAGCGATGTCCAGCCACTCTGTTCCCAAGGCGCCAAGAAAGCTGCCCGCTGAGCATCTCCAGCAGTAGACGTTCCAGCATATGCCTTTGCTAGATCCTGGGCTTCCAACAACCCCTTTGGAGGAATACCCCTTGCTGCGACCTTGAGCGCCATCTGAGCCGCGTACTCGTCGCCTGTAGATTGGGCCAAAGCAGACCAGCCATGAGGTAGGTCAGGGTAGAGCATGATATCTGTCTGTACCTGTGTTCTCATATCCTCATCCGTGCGTCCTTCTCCAAGCGTGGCAATGGCCCGTAGTACTTCGCCAATGTGCGACTGCTCTGAGGCTGTTACCTTGTGATTGGTGCGAAGACCATTAAGTTCTTCGACAACTGCTTCCAAAGAATCCTCGTCATTGTCCAACAAAGCCACCACACCAAGAAGAAGAACCGACTGTACATGTTCGGGGTGTTTTTCAATCACCTCAAACATAGCTTCACGAGCTCTCTCTCGAGATGACTCGGCTCCCTGAGCCCAAAGTACCTGAGCCAACAAACATACAGCATCGGGGTTACCATCAGACTCCTCCAGAGCAGACTCGAAATACGTGATCGCTTCATCAAACTGGCTGTTGTAGTACTGCGCCAATCCTACAGTGAGATGTGCAGACAAGCGAGCTCTCTTGCGTTGTTCACTTGAGAGCTCGTTCTCTGCCTCCTCGCTGCTCAAGCCTAGTGCTAGCTCGCCACACTCGACTGCCTTCTCGTATGAGCCAGAAGCGAGGTATGCTCGTGCTAGGTCCGTTTTGGCCAGAGCAAACTTGGCAAGACTTTGAGGGGATTCGGTGCTTTCGTAGTCGGCCTCGACGGTCGAGGAGATCTTTTCTAGCGCATCAACAGCACGGCTGCTCTCTCTGGTACGCTCTTGAAATAGTGTCGTCAAGTGGCCAAATGCCAGGTCATCGGATTTGAGGCTTTGGTATTGGTTGAGAGCAAAGAGTGGCTGAATGAGCGATTCAACGTTAATTTCATTGGGGGGCGATGAAAGAATATGGTCGAAGAGGGAGCTTGAGTAGTGACGCCTGGTAGGTACTGAAGATGCATCTGCAATCTCCATTGCGTGGGTGAATAGTCCTCGGGCTTCTTTGGCGTCACCATGAAGAAGAGCCACAAATCCTTGTCCTAGCCAAGCGTGTGCATAGTCAGGGTCGGTTGACTGGGCCCTTGTGAAGACCTCATTGGCCATCTCGACATCTCCGGACAAAAGGGCGAGAGTTCCCAAGTTCGTCCAGGCCGCAGGACTTCTCTCGTTTAGGTACAGACTTCGGGCAAAAGCATGCTGTGCTACTGTAGGGTTGATCTCGCTGGTTACTACACCAAGGGCATTCCAAAACTCCGAATTCCCAGCTTCTAACTCGATAGCACGCTTGAATGACCCCACCGCAGCTTTGACGTAGCTGCTGGACTTCTTCCTGATCTCAGACGGCAGGCAAATATGCGCGCGATGTTCTGCCCATCCCAAATTATAATAAGCCACGGCTTGCGCGTGACGATCATTAGACGAAATGTGAACACCTTGCTTGTGGCACAAAATCGTAGCGTGGATACATCGGGTGAGATCAACCCCAGGCTGCTCGTCATCTGCATACAAGCCCTTTGCGAAGACCACATCAGTGCCAACCTTATCAACACTGGCGAAAATCTCATAAGCGTCCTGTGAGCCCTTCTTGAGAAGTTCACTGATGGATTCGCAAGGTAAATCGCGCGTGCGACTCTGAACAGAAGAGAAGACAGAGCATGCATCAGCTATGGCTTTCCAGAAGTTAAAAGTCTCGAGAACACTGCCTTGGGTTGTCTTTGCATACTCAATGGTCTCGGTTGCAAGCTGGACTGCTTTTCCGAATAATCCTTTCTCGACAGATGAAAGGGCGTTGTCGACTGTTGTTTGAAGCAAAGCGATAATGACACCCTCCTCCCCAGGATGCGTCTCAATGACGGACCTGTAGAGAGCGATAGATTCATCATACTCGCCTAGTTCACGCTTGATGTTAGCAAGCATATATTTGGTGAACCAGGTGTCTCCAGAAATATCTGCTTCGGTTTCTTCCTCCAGCCTTTGTGCATTCAGAATCGCCTTAGTGGCAGCAATGTGCCGACCGGAACTGTGATAGCTCTCCCCAAGACCGACCCAGGAATGGTAATCTTCAGGGCTAATACGGAGCGCTGCTTGAAAAGACACAATAGCCTTATGGAAGTCTTGCTTATTTAGCTCAGCCACGCCGAGCGCTGCAAATGGCCAACTAATGCCCTTCCTCTTGGACCCTGGTGGCGGCTTTACCTTGCCAGAGTCAACAACTCGGCGGGCGACGAGCTCGACTCTATCCCAGTCTCCGTCGTCCGCAAAAGAGCGGGCAAGTCTTTCGGCTGCAACCACTTCGCCGTGAGACAGTTCCAATGCTTTCTGGAAGCAGCGTCGTGATCTGCCTTTATCCTTCGCATAGTCGGCATAATATGTTCCTAGGTACGTGTATGTGGGTGCGTAATTCAGGTTATTGTTCAGGGCACTAAGCCAGTATGCGTATGCGGACTCTCCTTTTCGTTGTTTTCGTGCGGCCTTACTGGTATCGATGTTCCAGAGGCATACCCCCACGCGGTGCTGCGTCTCACCCAGCAACTCCTTTGATTCAGTGCCTTGTTTTTCCAGCGGCTCGAGACATTCTTGCAGTTCATCCTTTGCGGTTTGCCAATCTCCCTTGAGTGCTTTGACCCAGGCTGCCTCAGACTTTACCCTGATGTTTGTTTTATCACGCTCCAGAGCCCGAGTAAGATACTCGATAGCTTCATCGTACTCCTCTTCTTCCTCGTAAATCAGACCAACACCGATCAAGGCGGAAGTGGAAGTGTTATCCCGCTCAAGAACCTTGTCGAACAGCTCCTTTGCCTCTTTGTGATGTCTGGGAGACTGGTAATAGACGAGTGCTGTTCCGAGTGAAAGGTAATAAGAGTCTTCGGCATTTGCGAATGAAAGGCCTGTCTTCTTACGCTCCTGTGTCAATAGTGACAAACCCTTGCGCATAAGCTCGGCAGTATTCTCATACTCTCCAATGTGAAGAAGATATTGACCAGTGAGTCGGTACGCAAGAACAGAATCAGCTGTAGTAATGCCTTCTGTGATCATGATGAGTCGATCCTCGTCAGTCAAAGGAACCACAAGGGTTGGAACTCCGCCATCGTCGTCATCGGAACTTTCGTCTGACTCATTCAGGGCTGCCTTCGCCTTTTCTTGTGGCTTCTCTGGTGGGAAGGGTGAGATTGGGCTTGTCAGGTAACTCGTGATAACTTTGTAAAGGTCACTGTCGGGGAAGAATAAACAGTACGCTCGGAGGACATCCACGTCCCATTCTCTGATCTCCTTCTTGTCCTGCCATTCTATAGATATATCCCAAGCAAGCTTGTATGGGTATTTTATGGCAACCATGCCGTTGGCAAGATCGAGCACTTTCTGACGTTCAGCGTCCTTTTCAGCGCCCGTTGGAGCAACCAGGAGACGATCATAACAGAGCTGAAGAAGCTTTTCTTCATACTGTCGTCTCAAGTCATCGTCATTTGTCCAGTTGATGAGTTGTCGATAAAGATGCTCAAGTTTACTCTGGCCGTAAACTTCCCGCTTGGCGTCAAGGGTCACCTCGGTGAGTTTCGCGCCCAGTTTGGTTCGTCGCTCTCCGATGAGAGTGTTTATCCGGTGTTTCTCAGCTTTCTCTAAGATGTGCGCTACCGTCTCATATGTCTTTGCCGGGTGTGGGAATCGGCCCTCGAGGATGGGATATAGAGGGCTTTCGGGGAGTTGGATCGAAAGTGCTTCAGCATATTGGGTCTCATCACCTTGGACTCTTGCAAAGTCGACAAATTTGTCGACAACATCTTGACACTTGTACATATCATCGGCATCTCGATAAATCTGCGCCAGATTAACGACCGCCTGGTGGTAATCTGCCAGCTTCTTGTTGCTTTGCTTCTCAAAGAGCTTGATCAAGCCCTGCCATGCTTGTGCCTCCTGGGGACGAAGCCACGTCGCAGATCGATAAGTCTCCTGAGCTAGGTCAAGCCTGTCCTTTTTATCCAAGGCAAAGGCTAGGAAAATGTGCCTGGAAAGGTTGTCAGCTTGGGGCGATCATGGCGGGGTACTGCAGCTCTCTGTTGCGTTGCACATAGTTGGTATTCTCACGCTTGGTAGTTCTTGGGATCCTTCTCCAGAAGCTCCTTTGCCTTGTTCACTGCGTCGTCAAACTTTTGTTGGCGAATAGCATCGTTAATGGCCTTGAGGGCTGCCTTTGTCCCTGACATGACGGCTAGATTTCTGTTGTGTCGGAGGGTACCCCCACCAAGCTCTCAGAAGCTCCCTTTGCTCTCTTGGTGCTATGACTGATATTTGTGGTGGTCTTTTATATCTCATCCAGCGAAAGAATCCGATCGAGTGACGTCGACAAATCCAAAGACAACGCTCCAAAGCACATCAAATGAATAGATCATACACTCATTAGCCAGGCTATTGCAGGTGGAATTGCTCTGTGGATGAATTATGTCATTGGAAGCTTCACTGATAGCCGAAGATGTCCCGCCTATGTTTTGGGTCCCACCAAGCCAACTAGCACTATCTGTAGATATAGGAGTACGGAGTACCTAATGCTGCCTTAAGTCTTGTTAAGCTTTCATCCACTATCACTAATCAAAGTGTTGATGTAAGTTACAACGTTGCGTTATCCCTCCACATGTTCTCATCCTTGGTAGTAAGGTTCCAGATACTAGAAGGTGCCTAGTATTGAAACACAAGCTATAGCAATTTCATATTCACAGAAATATTTCAACAATAGCTCAATTAGTTAAACAGTCCGTTGGTTCTTACAGCCATGTAAGGGTTAAATGGGAATGCTAGGTGGATGTTTAACAGTTGCTTTGTTATTAATCGTAAACTTGATGATAGATATAGGGTAGCATGACTAAGGTAAAGTTCACAAGAAAGGATACTCCCCCATCAAATTTCCGTCCATGATACGATATAGCTCTGCGAGAGCAGTAACGGGGCAGTAATCTCCACCTCTATATGGCCTATCTTCATCATCGAGTTCCCCTGGGTAGGGCTCCGCAGGATAGTCCCATTTTGGATCGATCATCCTCACATGGACATCGGCAAGACGAGGCTCATCCCATTCAATGTCGAGGGAGAAAGAACAATTGGCCAATCTGCTGATTGTTTGTTCGTCAAGGAGGATGCATGCTGAGAACCTGCTTATACCAATTCCTCTGAACATGAGGTCGTCTTCAAGTACCCCGAGACTTCTGAGATGAGCACGGAATTCCTCCCTTACTCGATCTTCTGATGCGTTCTCTAGGGCCTCTTTGTCTTCAATGACTTCAAGTTTGAATCTTTTAGTTGCTTCCTCACTATAGAGAGAAGGTGACATTAGCCTCAAGCTTCCGATTGTGGCTTGGACCAGGTTCTCCAGGGCTTGGTTGAGTTTTTGGCATGCCAGATTGGAATAAGATGTGACAAAGACGAAGTAACCCCATGTTGGGTCCGTGGCTGCCTGTCCGAGTGGTCCTCGTGTCTTATTTTGATGTGCCTCTACAGCAGAGAGAAGCTTGCGCACATCGTCAGACCTCTTTTTGTAGCCGAACCAGTCTTCATCATCACGGACCCACCGATTGAAGGGCCTCTCTCTCTCAAATATTTGACTATCAAATTCAGGTTCAACACTGTAGTCAGTGGGCCGGATATCCAAGTCAACATCACTGAGATGCCGGGCTGTTTTCTGAATGGCTGGATCAGCACCAGGACCGAATGAGCGGATGTTAAAAGAGCGCTTGTGAGGGACAGTGCGAATTTCGAGAGAAGGATCTCGTGGTGGAAAATCTGTCATAGGAAACCAAGAGTCCATATTGTGCAGGGAATGGAGGTTGTGAGAGATGAGTGTGAGGGTAGTGGGAGGCAAGGCGAGAATTATTGTGGATAGACAGGAGAGTGTACTCCGTAACGTCGACTGGGTAAGGTATAAATACTGGTCTCAACAATGTCATCCACAATCCTTATTTCATTACTGAAATATGGCTGTGTATCTGCCGAATCAGATCGTATATGAGACGGCGTTTGCATAATCATCAACGGATAGCAACATGGTTCGTTAGGCAGAAGCCCAGGCAGTAAGTGTTTTATGGTAAACCAATGAGAAGACAGAATAATATACAACCAACAACTTACACGGAGGGTGTATAAGTCTAAATTTCACTTATAAATTTTAGGCTGTTATTTTAAGGTACTCACTATTGATTCGACAGACTTGTCATGTCAAACCACTCTAGTGTAAGTAACGCGAAAGAGGAAGTATATCAGTTCGCAACATCTTCATGCTAGACTTTGTGATCCTGCGGCGACTATAATGCGATACTGAGTTACGCCGTCATAGAACGTCAAAGCTTATCGTCATTATACATTATTTTGCGCTTTTTTGTCACCCTCTTTATGCTGTTCGCTCCTGGGGTACAGGTGTCGTAACGAAATTTTGTGATACAGTCCAACTATTCAAGTTGAGCTTTCACTGAATAATACAAAAACCAGTTGCTAGATATGGAAGTCTGACGTTTTATGAGTAGGTATCGAACCAAACTGAGGTTCGTTAAGCTTTCATCTGAATCACGAGCTGCCCTGCACGTGCACACATAAACTTCTGTCAACGTCGCTTCGAACAGGTATCTGTAATCTGGCTACACACTCTCTATACTACAGCCTAGCTGATCCGCCGACATGGACTCATTGCACGACGATATCTTTGTGTCTTATGACCGCGATTCTGAACCCGAACCCGAACCCGAACCCGAACCTCTTGATTCTTCCTGTACGCCAGGAAAAAGAAAATGTGCGAAATGCCAGAAACTCGGTAGGCGCTGCTTCCGGTGCCGTTTGAAGCTTGCATTAGGGGAAGAGTCTGAGGAGCCTGCCAAGTCAGCACTTGAACTTGTTGTTGCTTCTCAAGCTGCTCAAAGAAACGACAAATCCCAAGATACTATCCCAGAGCCTATCCCAAAACCCATCAAAACCAGGAATGAAGCAATACGACCACAAAAGGTTGCACAGAATGGAGAAGCTCCGAGCCCCATTACACGGTCTAGTTCAAAATCTCAACTACAAGATTGCCCATCGACTGCCCCCAAGAATAGAACCGAGAGCTTTCAGACCCCTTCCCATGATACATACTTTTACAATGGTGTAATAACGGGCAGCACACAATACTACCAAAGCAACATTTCATCCTGCGGTGCCAACATCCAATCTAAGGCGAACGATGCCCACTGCCAAACAAATTGCTACTTGTATAACTATCCTTGTTCTCAGTGGAAGGACCTAGCTCCTGAACCTCCATACTACTACAATCGATCGAACGCAGAGATTGAGGTAGTCAAGATAAACAGAAGCTGGCATCTCGTTTCCACAAAGTGCCGCGTTGAGAAATACGATGACAGCGGTATTGAGCACAATCACGAACACCGACATTGGGCAGAGCCCTCCAGGGAAGCCCCCCATTGCAACAGTTGCAGGTCTCTAGAAGAGAAGAAGGCCAGCGTTCCTGAATATATCAAGTTTGACAATGCCAAGGTGACTTTTATAGAACAATTACCTTGGCGAGGGTATGCTCATGCAGTCTGGGTTGCGCTGGCGGATACAACACCCTTCATGCCGGGCTCAGTGATTCGCAGCACCAATCAATATAAAGTGTCATGTACGGTGTATCGCGATCAACTATATGGACCTGGGAGGCTTGTTAATCAGGTCTGGAAGCCTGATGAGCCCATAATACCACTGGAATCAGTTTGCTCTCGCATATATGATTTCGGCAGATCAGCCGTACACTGGGTGCAAGAAAGGATCACTGGCGTGAAGCATTCGGATGAGATTGACTAGCGGAGATCCCTATTCCATCCCATAGAACTTCTTGTTGTGCCATTCAAGAGATGGTCTGAGGCACTGGCAAACCCATAAGGAGAATAGCTTGCATGCGAATACCACCAACATGCAACCGCCAAGGTCGACAACCGAGTCGCCACGGGGCCCGCACACACCTTATCTTGTATACGAAAATGGAAGTGGAACTTCCATGGGGTTTTCGCATTCCAAGCTGGTTTTCGGAAAAGAAGTCATCTCGTTGGTTGGGGGCGGATATTTCGGAAAGGAGGCACTTAGTTAGCATAAATGGCTCGTATGTCATGGCGGCCGTAGCCGATTTGGAGTAAATTGGGGGCCGGCCCTGCCAGAAAATGTGTATATATACCCAAAACTTCCCTAATTCGGGTGGTTTGTCTCTTCAACATCCCTATATCACGAGAAAGTAGAGCCAATATCCTTTGACCCATAAGTAACATATTTTGACTGACACTTTCGCCGCGAGCTTCAATATCGATTCGAAAGTCAAATCACAACAGGGATTTCTGAAACAGCACTATTAGGCCATCGTACAGTGCGACAGCAGAGCGGTCAAGATCCAGTTTGTTCATCATGTTCCATTCTATCTTTGTTATCACTCAGGCTGCCGACTTATTTCTACCGGCCAGTCCAACCAACCTATCAAGTCCGCACTTAACAAGCCTCTTATCGTTTCGAGCAGATGCGTTGCCCACCCTTCCAGAAACCATGACCTTTTCATTGTCCTGAACAGAGGGACATAATACGCCATCAAAAGAAGAGCCTGAGGTGCCTTTCGCTGAAGACACCCGACAAACAGATCTTGCATGCGGTACAGCCAGCCAAACACAAACTTATTCATCTTTGGTACTTGGACAAGGCCCTCGGCGTTGCCAAAGTTGGCCTCGTAAACATCGCACAAGCTTTTGTGAACCCTCAGGTACAGGGCAGTATCTGGGTTCTCATGAGACGCTATCCATAGTCGAAGCTTCTCAAGTGGTCCAACCCAATCAATGTACGAGAACCCCATAACCATAAAATCGGGTTTTGTATCTTCCATCTCTGAATTCGTGCCACCGCCGCCGAGAGGAGCCATGAGGCCCGTAAAGAGCGTTGCTGGTTCAATGCTCTGTCGGATCAGCCGGACTCCATGAATCACGGGAAGCCATCTTTGCGAGATCCCCTCGCCAATAACACACACAAGCAGGTCGTCGGGACCTGTTGGTCCAGCTGCAAAGGTGCAGTAGCAGACGAGCACCGCTGCGACATAGAGAGCGCCACAATTTGCTTCGTTAAGGTTCGTTAAAGTCCTGTTCATTTCGTAAATTCCAAGCTCTGCATGATGGGCCGCGAGGGCGAGGCTCTGGGAATGCCGTTCAGTCCCCTTTGGTTCTTGGTATACTAGATGATACCCTGCTAGAGCATACATCATATGGAGGACGAAGTGATAGGAAAGGCCGATCTGGGGGACATTTCGCGCCCAGAACGATGCGATATCATCGACAGGGTCGTCAGCATCGTGTAAGGTCCTTGAGGTATTGGCCATGAAGTGGAAGAGTAACTCGGCGTCAGCAATATTCAAGGAACATATCTGCGAGTTTGATATGGTTGAAGAGGAAACTGGGGTAGCTGACGTCGAAGATGGCGATGTTGTCGTCCTGTCTGATGCTGGCGGGGGAGGAGGTGGTGGTCGCGTGAGTGCAGCCCAGTCCTTGCGTGGCCTTCCAGGACCACGTCGCGGCGTCGTGGCAGGTTCTGCTAAAACTGATAGTATCTCCGGAGGAGAAGTGTGCGGCGCTGAGTCGTCACTAGAAGGTGGTTGTGGTGCAAAATCGCAGGGTATGCCAAAGCGCACGCAGTTGGCACAAGCTGGCTTCACCTCGTCACACTGGAGGTCTTGTCAGCTCTGATCTGGGACATTCGGAGACTTTTTTTTCTCTTTTTTCTTTTTTTTTTCTTTTCATTTTTTTGGGAGGACTCACCTTTACTTTTCTCCTTTTGCAGTTGAAGCATCCGTTTCTCGATTTACGGTGCGGTCTTCTGGCAAGCTTGGAGACCCGCGCAGAGGAGATGCTCTCTGGACCAGTTGGCTGTGGCGTCGTTGACTTGCGCATGCTATCTACCTTATGTGACGATGCAGTGTCTGTGAAAGTTATATAGAGAACGGCCAGATCATCCAGAAAGCCCCAGCGACTATAGAAGTACGCAACGAACGAACGAACCACGAGCAGGAAACACCAACTCTAAGTGTTTTTGCTTTCGGGCGTCGTCATGGGCTTCAAGGACCCTTCCGAGGTGACCGGGCAATGTCTCCGTGTCTGCGGACGGAAGCGCCGGACGGCCTCAGCTCTTGGACCGGGAGAGTCCAAAACACAAAAACGAAGAAATTCGAGTCCGGTATTCAGAATCCGACAAGTCACAACTCTTACCGGATCGCCGAATGTGATGTTCGTAGGGGTATTTGGAGTTGATGATCTATTAGTCCAGCCACAACCGGAATAGCAGCAGTGCCGGCAAATGTGTGTGGGTCGGTGACAGATGATTTTAGAGTTGATATTCTCGACCCGAGAATGAAATAGAATCTGATGTGAAGCAAGGGTCCTCAGCTTGAGGAGAAGAGCTTCTAGAACAAGAAAGGCAGGCTGTTGATTCAACGTAAAATAAACAGGAAAATGGGGGATTGGTTGGGCGAGGGGAGCAAAGTAAAGTACTAAGGTAGGCAGCTCCAGCGGAGTTAACTAACGGCGACGGGTTTTCGCATTTGTCATTGCGTAAAATGTCCGATTTGCGAGGTCGTAAGGCTATACCTCATTAGGCCAAAGGAATCGGGTTGTCGTTAGTATCTGACCAAGTTCTCACTCTTGAGTGCAAAACGTAAGAGGAGAGGATGAAGCTGACGAGATCATTTGGGGCAGTATAGGGAGTCTCACACACTCGCACACGCGGTCTGAACTATTTACGAGGTTCTAAGCTTCTATTCTTGTTGCACAACTATAATACTTACACGTTAGGTAGAATTCGTGTTAGACCTTCCGAGGGGGGGGGGGCTTCGACGGACTCTCGGACAAGTTGCTTCGCTTACACGAGCGACAAGAGATCTGGCTGACTAAATTTGTCTGGCTCTGGCCCAGGGCCCCAGCCTGGGTGCGGCATTCGTTTTAGCGCCTAAATAAAGCCACCATCGGACCCAAGGATGACGAATACGATTGATTGATTGATATGCTCGGAACTTTTGGTCCCTATTCACGTTCTATATCCGCATTTTCTTAAACTGACAGGGTATTCTCGCTTTCTTTTCTTTTCTGTTCTCCTCCCCAAGCTTTCGAGGGTGCTGCTTTTAAGTTTAATTGCAGTGGTCATGCATTTTTTACTCACCGGCCCGCCACAATACTCATGTTTCAGTATACGATCAATATTCACTCCCGTGACGTCTACGGAGACTTATCTTAACACGATCACTAATTCTTATCTAAAGTGGCTTGCTGATATTATTAGAGCGAATACGGATTCAAATCGGCTGATGTTCGGGTTGCTCATAAACTCCGGGTAGTGGGGGACATGTCCAGAGGTGATGATCTATGATAATGGGACTAAAGGCACGGAGTATGACCCTCATGACCTCGGAATCAAGAAGGATGGGACACTGAAATTGAATGCCCTTAGATGCCATTCCGGCTTCTCCATACTCCTAAATATCGAAGAAATAGTACATTGTTCCAGTTTCTCCATGAAAGAATATTCCCTTCCGCGTATATCCCGCTGACTAACAAGGGTCCCCAGGCGCATACAGTACAGTAGCCCGCCTGGAACGTCATCGTCAGGTGGTTGCCCCAGCTAACCAGACTTGGCCTATATCCCAGTTTCCCCTTCAGCTCCGCATTCTTGCTCTCTCAACACCAGCAAAGCGGTCTAGAGAAGGGCAAGTCATGTCGTCTTTTCGCCTCTTGATCGAAGATGGCCAGTTCCGCGATGGATACGGTCGACAAGTAGTCCTCCGTGGCATCAATCTCGCTGCTGATGCCAAACTCCCTAGCGAACCCGATCAACCATCTCACATTCCCACTGACTTCTTCGACGGCGATAATGTAACATTCCACCAGCGTCCTTTCCCCAAGGAAGATGCGCGATCCCATTTTGCGCGCCTCAGGCGATACGGCTTCAACACTATCCGCTACATCTTTACCTGGGAGGCACTCGAGGCTGCAGGGCCTGGGAAATACGACGAAGACTTCATCCAGCATACGATTGACATTCTGAGAATAGCAAAGGAGTATGGATTCTATATATTCATGGACCCTCACCAGGACGTTTGGTCTCGTTTCACTGGTGGCTCGGGAGCCCCGTTATGGACTATATATGCATGCGGCCTCAACCCTCAGAGCTTCGCCGCGACTGAAGCAGCAATTGTTCAGAATACATACCCTAACCCTGATGAGTTCCCAAAAATGATCTGGTCGACCAACTACTATCGACTTGCAGCTGGTACCATATTCACCATGTTTTTTGCTGGCAAAGACTTTGCTCCAAAGTGTATAATTGACGGTGTGAACATCCAGGATTACCTGCAGGACCATTTCATGAGAGCATGCGGTCAACTTGCCCAGCGAATCCACGAGGCAGGCGACCTGGAAGAGGTCGTCGTCATTGGCTGGGAGAGCATGAATGAACCAAACAAGGGCATGACTGGTTATAAGGATCTTACTGTGATCCCTAAAGAGCATCCTTTGAAGAAGGGAACCTGCCCAACAATGTGGCAGACGTTGTTGACTGGAATGGGACGGGCGTGCGAAGTCGATACTTGGGAGATGGGCGGCCTTGGCCCTTACAAGACTGGCACAACATTGGTCGACCCTCATGGCGAGGTCGCATGGCTACCAGCAGATTATGACGATTCAAGATATGGTTGGAAGCGTGATCCTGGCTGGAAGCTCGGCGAGTGTGTCTGGGCACAGCATGGAGTTTGGGATATGGAGACCGATACCCTCCTTCGCAAGGACTACTTTGCTAAAAATCCGAGTACCGGTAAGGTCATCGATTATCCGCAATTCACCAATACCTATTTCATGGACTTCTGGCGAAAATATGTCAAAACTTGCCGTGCCGTCCACAAAGACTGCATTATGCTTATGCAATTTCCTACACTCGAATTACCGCCCGAGATCAAAGGAACGGAAGACGAAGATCCTCGAATGGCGTTCACACCGCATTACTACGACGGCATCACACTTATGACAAAGCACTGGAATAGCACGTGGAATGTTGATGTGGTCGGAGTCTTGAGAGGCAAGTACTGGCATCCAGCGCTAGCGATCAGGATCGGAGAGACGGCTATTCGAAACTGTCTCCGGGACCAGCTCGCAACACTGAGACAAGAGGGCCTTGACCGGATAGGAAAGCATCCTTGCGTGTTGTCAGAATTTGGTATTCCCTATGATATGGATGACAAGAAAGCCTACAAGACAGGCGACTATTCGAGCCAGTCGGCGGCAATGGACGCCAACTATTTCGCAGTTGAAGGATCTCAGATCGAAGGGCATTGCCTATGGACATATTGTGCAAGAAACGATCACTTAAGGGGAGACTTTTGGAATGGAGAGGATCTGTCCATCCTTTCGCTGGATGACAAACCACTTCCAGAATCCCCCGTTCCCGAATACTCGCAGTCGTCGCTGGATCTGGCGAGGACTGCGATTGCGGCAAACACGAAGAAGGATGTGGCTGATGATCGAAATGTTACACCCGACAACCTCAAACGGACACTCACCAATCCGTCCATCAGCTCCGCGCCGTCAGCCAAGGATCCTCAGCTAACCAACGCCCCTGGCTTCCGCGCAGCCGAAGCTTTCGTGCGCCCTACGCCGACGGTGGTATACGGTGACATTGTATCCACCGGATTTGATTTGCGACAGTGCACATATCTTCTCAAGGTCAAGGCACCAAAAGCAGCACCAGATGAGGCGCCTACGATTGTGTATTTGCCCGAGTACCATTTCCCCAAAGAGCAGTGCGAAGTGGCAGTGTCCTCGGGCAAGTGGGAGCTTAGCACAGACGATGAAGAGGGCACAACACTTCAGAAGCTCAAGTGGTGGCACGCAGAGGGAGAGCAGAGCCTCAAGATCTCGGGTCTCGTACGGAAGCACAACGTTCCTGTAGGATCCGAGGAGGATGCTGGCTATCTTGAGCAGTGTCAGCAAGGCTATGGATTCAATTTTGGAAGCTGCAGTGTTATGTGAGCCGAGCCTTATTTGAGACAAGGCGCGTATAAGTCGCATCAAGTTCAGTGCATGGCAGATTGAGATACGTCTGGCGAGCATGTTCTGGGACACGGCGTTAAGGTTTAATATTGAACTATATATCTGATTGGATACCTTGAAATGCCACTTTGAAACCGTTTCTACTGGTGAATCGTGAACTTTGTCGACTGGGAAGGTAATTTCTATACGAAGAGTACACGAAGCTAAGTTTTGGCCACGGAGATTTTCCCAGTCCGGCCATTCTCCTAGGGCCGCTAATTGTACGGCGATTTAAAAAGGTCACCGCCTGACCGTTCTTATTAGAGTACAATTCATGATGGAGAATCTCGTGTTCAGTGTGACGCCACAGGAGAGGACCTTTAATCATTATTCCATAGCCGAGAGGATGTCAGCTTGCGGGGAGTCCCAATGCTCTGGTAAGGGGGAATTGACTTCCAGGTGTTCCTAGTCAGGCACATTCTCGTATTCACGATACCAGGTTATCCGTGTTGCCATGGGTTATGACCCAAGGGTTCTCTAGTGGGCCTAGACAATGGAAAGACGATTATTAAATATAGAGGGCTTAGAAGAGTCTGGCCGATAATGTTGAGTGTGAAGAGATAGATGCAAGTGAACAAGGCATAGCCTGACGGTCCCATGACAACCATTCCGAAAATGACAATTCCAATGGAACAAGTTGAAAATAGCACAGACGGGCAGGAATTGACAATTGGTGCCCCCCATTACCCGAGACTGGCGACATTTGAATGATGCCGATTTGCTGGAGATCCCCCTCCATTAGTGAAGCTAGCGCATGTCTTTTCACACTCTGCACACCATCTCAGCTGTCGCTAAGCGCCAGACGCCCTCGAACTGAAAGCCTAACGTGAGAACATGGCGCAGTCGGTCAGGTTAGAAAGCTCAGGTCTGCTTAGGTTCCCTTCTGCTGAGGGGAACGTGAGGAGAAAACAGAGTTTCCCGTCTAACGGCTCGGAATAAACCTGATTGATAGTCAAGCCGTAACTAGCCAAGTCGAGTTATTCGAATACTGCATTAGTTTAGTGGTTTTTACTACCTATTCTTTGTTCGATTAAATTAATATTTCACGTGTTGGTCTAGTCTAGTCTAACTTACCTACCTTATGTTAGTCGTCAACTCCAGAACTTACTGCTCCTCACTCACTATCTCAACCCGCCGTCAGCTTCTCCCGTCCGCCAACAATCCATCAATCAATCGAATCGTCTCCTCCCTCACTCCCGTCCCAGTCCCTCCACTCCATTCACAATCCCTGACATCTCAGCATCCTTCTCTATCCCGTCCTAGCTTGGTCTGGCCTAGCCTAGCCCCCAGGATCCTTGTCGAGACGACCCACCTCGACATGTTACTCCACCGCAGATACAAACCATGAAGGGTAGCGATAGCTTGCGACGGGTTAACCGTCCCGCTGCCAATTTCGACCTACCACCAGCAGCTCAGGCTCAGGCACAGGCCCAAGCTCAGGCTCATGCTCAGGCGCAACAGCAGCAGGCTCTTCGGTCTCAATCTCAGCCTCAAGAGCCCATCTTGGGATCTATAACCTCGACAAGCCCAGAAATCACCACTTCCTCGCTCCATTCTCAGCCTCAATCTCAGTCTCTCTCGACCGCCAGGTTCCGTTCCTCTTCGAGACCCAGTCTTCAGGACCTAGTCCCTGTCGCCGGGACTCCAAAGCCAAACGTCTACGACCAACCTCCAGCCTATGCCCTGTCGTCCTCATCCTCCTTGACGGGGCCGTCCTCTTTTTCCTATCCTCCAGCGCATCCAACTGCTGGCGCCGCAGCGATACATACCCATACAACCCATACACATCCGCATACGCACACACACACTGCCCTGGCGGCTGTCAATCGACCCCGGCCTCTGGGCCCATCCTCCTCCGACATAGCGACTGCAGAGCAGGCTCACTTCCTCCACTCTGTCTCATCTGCCTCGAGCTTACGTCCAAGGTCTTCCACCACTAGCGCCACTGCTGCTGCTCCTGCTGCTCTCTGCCCGTCTCCATCGCATAATACACCGAATTCTCTTCTTCGACAACACACCTCGCCGCCGTCTACCGTCGACAACAACTCTGCCCACTTTGTTCCTCGAGGCGGGTTTCCCCCCGCGTCGTCCATCATGTATCCGGCAGGCCAGAGACATGTCTCGGGCGCCGATCCCACACGACCATTCCAGGTCCCTCCGCCGCCGCCGCCGCCCATGGGAGCTCCGAATGCCGGCCAAATGGGTAATATGATGAATCTGCCTCCGCCGCCGCCGCTTCCTCGATATCCCACCGCACCAGGCCCCTCCGGCGTCGCGATACCCCCACCGCCCGGTCCGCCC